CTTTATTTATTATTATAAAAGTGACTAGAGTTAAAAGTACGGATCTTTTTAAGTTATTTAAGACTAGAATAGGTAAAATAAGTAATAATAATATAATTAAAATAATTAAAATTGTTCACGAAACATGCATGTGGGTAATGTAATTCGATAGCGTAATGTGAGCTGCACGTTCCCCGAGTGATTTACAACTTGTAATGGCACGGATAACATTTAGACATGGTTCAAATAGCAATAAAACAATAAAATTTAATTATAAATAGATATATAATGTTACGAACTTAGAACTACTTAGGATAAACGAATGTAGTTTATTTATGTAGCATTTAGACATGGTTCAAAGGGCAATAAAATAAAATTTAATTATAAATAGATATATAATGTTATGAACTTAGAACTACTTAGGATAAACGAATGTAGTTTGGTGTTACAGTTTGAAGAAATTGAGTTGGACCTATACATTATCTGAGACCATTAACAATTTTGAGTAATATAAAATATTATAAATAGGTTAGCAGTTAGATGAAACCTGAAATAGCTAAATAAAGTAAAATACAACAGTTCCTTTCACGACAGTACGTAATGCAGTTTGTGGTATACAAATTTTCAAGTTCTTCTAACTTGTAATTTTTACCAAGTTTGAATTATTTGTCTTAAAGTGTGAGATAACTTGTTTTTTCTGGAGTATTATTTCACACTTAGTTGCTGATGAAGTAATGATGGAAATTAAATAGTTTGTGTAGCGAAGTGATAAATGAACTATGGAAAACATCATTAATTCTAACTTTTTAAACTAAAGAATTACTTTATCCATACTGTAGTAGTATTAGTGTGAAAGTTGCATTTATTATATATCTAAATACAGGTTTTGTAACAAGGAATAATTTTGTTATATTAAGTTCTAAATACTGATGGTTTGATTAAGCAATGTGGTGTATATCTAACAAACTCTTGAGTTTAGGTGCAGACCAGCATCTTAAAAATTAGTTTGCACTTCTACACTGTTTTATATAGGCTTTTAATATGCAGCATGTTTGAACTGAGTTTTATATGATTGATTCATATCATCTGAGGAATCCAGATCTGTGGTG